TCCCTCCTCAGGGCTGGCGGCCAACCTCCTGTGCCCCATCCCTCTGCCTTGCTGGCAGGCCTTGTTCAGCCTGCCGCCCACCCGCCCGCTGTAGTGGTAGTGCGGCAGCGAGGGAAGGAGGAGGGGGGGAGGCGGGGAACCATGTGGTGGCGGGGCGCCAGTGATGGTGGTGTTGACATGTGGTGTCCATTCCTTCCGCACCCGGCCTGGCGACCGTCGCCTCCTCTCCAGCCTGCCCCTGATCGGCCTGGCCCCAATCGACCCTGATCGCTGACCAGGCCCAGGGACCCCACCCGTGCACAAATGTCATGCACCGGGCTTCTAGTTCAAATATAACAAGTGAAAAGGGAGAAATTTTCCCTAGGAAAAAAGATTAAAATATTTTAAGGAATAATAATATAAACAGAACACTTTTAGCTTTAGTCTAAGATGGTTATGATTTGATTTAGTTAGTTAGAAGATGGTTCCTGCTGTTGTATTTTCTATTTTCCTATCTCTACCCTATGTACTAAAGTTGGATAAGTACCCAAACAGGATAGAAAAACGTAGTTTCTTCTCATGACTGATTAGAATGATATTTTTCCTACTTTGAATTATTCCTATACGTCTGTAAGATACAAGGATCCAATTTTAGTAAAGGAACAGTTAAGTTCCTATTTTATAATCAGTTCTAAACACAAAGAGGTGTATAACTTTTTATATCAAAAGGAAAGTGAACCTTGTTCTACGAGTGCATTTTTTCACACCCATGCCTCAAACTGTTTTCAACAGATTATCTTGTGTTTCTCTCCTTAAAGTTTTACTCTATATTTAATCATACAGTTTGGCATTGTGTGGTGTGGTAAGGTAGCATCAAAGAAATTTTTCTCTAGAGAATGGTGAGGATTTACTAATTCAAAACTTACAAAGTTACCTAGAACAATGCCTGGGGACATAGTAAACCTTCTTAATTCTGGCTATAATGTTAGCTATTATTAATATCACTATGGGTTTCTTTTCAGAATGAGAAATGATTTGAAACTGAATAGAGACAAGAAAGAGTAAATTACTTCAAAACTCTCATTCTTTAGACCTGAAGGTAGAAATATAAAATTGGGTTCATAGAAGATAGTGCAACATAAGCAGTTAGTAGTTGATGGGGCTGACTGAATAAGTACTAAATTAATAGCAAGAACAATATATGTAAGTGGTTTCAATTAAGAGAAATCAAATCATGTGTATAGAAGAACCTTTTGTGTATGTTTTTACTGATTTACTTAACAGTTACTAAGTACTGCCATATGATGGGCAGTGTGCTACCAGAATTAGTAAATCTGTCTAAAACTTGTTGGAAAGTGGCCATGCAGTTTGAACTCAAGAGTTAAAGGAATGAAAGAATTTTTTCCCTGTAAGTTCTAAAAAATTAGAATTTACTTTCTTTTTAAATTTGTGGTCGTTTAATGTAACTCCTGCATAAACATTGTATACTGTGGTTATTACAAACATTAATAAACTTGGTTTTAGCCTTCTTTTAAAAATTAGCTTTAATCATATGGTACGTAAGGTACGCTAGGATAGGATTGCAGCTTTAACTCTTATGACCTTAGGTCAGTTTTCCCACACTGTTTTTACAGAACACTGATTCTACAAGAGCTCCCCTAACAAAGAATTCTTTTGTCAGATAAGTTTGTGAAAAGCTGCATTTTGTATATTTTATTTAGATTTCACAACCTAAATTGACTTGTAAAGGCAGAAGGTAAACACTTCTGTTTAATTTTGTTTAACCCCATTTTTTCAAAATGTTAATTATTTCCAGAACCATTTTCCAGGTAAGATATTGAACCCATCACATACTGGTAACTACTTTCCATACTTTTTTCTTCCTCCATCATTTGTCAGATCTTCAGCCTTTTTTCTTTCTGTTCTGTGTATGACTGCAAACTTTGACGATGTGCAAGAATAAATAGGCAAAGGGCTAGAGCAAGCCTATGAATAAAGTGCTTGAGCTTTTAAATATAGTTTTTCTTTATATTTCATAATGTGAAAATTAGAGAGACTTGTGAAATGAACCCCCATATACTCATCATAAACCTTTAGTTAGTACCCACTTGCAGCCCATCTTATTTTGTCTATATCTCACCCACTATAATCCTCTTTGTCGTTATTTTAGACCCACTCTCAGTCATCATATCATTTCACCTGTAAACATTTTAGTGTGTCTCTCAATGTTAGAATCTTAAAAAAATAAAACACAATACTCTTACTAGACCTAAAAAATGATTGGTATTTCCTAGGCATTATTAAATACCCAGTTAAGGTTTACATTTCCCTGGTTTTCTTAAAATTTTTTTACTCATTTTATTTAAGGATCCAAAATAAGATTTATATTTTGAGATAGCTTGATTAGTATTATACCATCATAACTTATAGCTTGAAACATATTATGGGTATTGGTCCATTGTTCTCAGTTATTTATGTACTAGAAGCCCAGTGCATGAAATTCGTGCACTTGGGGTGGGGGTTCCCCAGCCTGGCCTGTGCCCTCTCACAGTGCGGGAGCCCCGCGATGGATCTCCCCAAAGAGATAGGCCCCGCCCACCCATCTGGGGCTCCTCAATGGATTGCCCCAAAGAGGTAGGCCGGAGCCGGTAGTCCTGCCTCTGCGCCACACAGAGCCGCTGGACCCTGCCTCCGTGGCTCTGCATGGAGCCGCCAGAACCCGCCTCCGCACCACACACACAGCGTCAAGTCCCCGCCCACCCATGCACCTCGCTGCGCATGCAGCCCCACCCACCCTTGCGCACCCACTGCGCACACTGCCTCCTGGAGATGGATTGTTATGGCATGAGGGCATCATGGTGTGAGGGTGTGATGACCACATAGTCTTTTATTAGTATAGATTATCCCATTTTTGTGGCTAGTATACAAGTTCATTAACAATCCTTTTGACAGAATCCTGATGGGTTATGATAGTGTTTTTGCTTTCTGGTATGAAAAGTGTTCTGAGTTCATCTTATACATTTTCTCTTCAAGACATGAAAGCTGGCCATTTCTCTAAGGAACTCTGATTGTTTTTACAGAGCAAAGGTTTTTTGAAACCACAGTATAAGTACTACAGATGCTTATTCCTACTGCGTACATTACAGTCACTAATTCTTTTCAGTGATCGTAGCTGGGAGTGAAAAAAATATACGTACATTCATACACACATGTACACATATACTTATACACATATTCACATATACCCTGTACAAATAAAATAAATTCAAAACAACTACTGATCCATTTAATTCTGAACTTTAGGAGTTTTATGCACACGTGCATATACACACATATATGTATACATAGAGAGGTAGGTAGGTAGGAAGAAAGAAAGAGCCTTTACTAATACTTGTAAATTAATTCTGGATTATAAGGGTTTTACTTAATCTCAGGGGTCTTCATAGCTCTATCTTCTTTTTTCATGCTGAAAACTCAACATTTCACTGACACCAACATAATTAGTTATGTGCTCTATATGTAAGTCTGAAAATAAAAATACCACCTTTACCACAAATAATATAATTTCTGGGAATAAAAGTTTAATATTCTGAGTTCTTTTTTCCTTATAGTATACTAGAGGCCCGGTGCATGAAATTTGTGCATTCGGGGGGTCCCTCAGCCCGCTCTGCACCCTCTCACAGTCCGGGAGCCCTCGGGGGATGTCTGACTGAGTGGGTCTAAGCTGGCAGTTGAACATCCTTAGTGCTGCCACGAAGGTGGGAGAGGCTCCTGCTACCACCGCTGCGCTTGCCAGCCTTGAGCACAGTTTCTGGCTGAGCAGTGCTCCCCCTGTGGGAATGCACTGACCACCAGGGGGCAGCTCCTGCGTTGAGCATCTGCCCCGTGGTGGTCGGTGTGTGTTATAGTGACTGGTTGTTCTGCCATTCGGTTGATTTGCATATTAGCCTTTTTTATATACGATGTAATAGCTACAGCTTGAAAAATTACAAATTGTTTCTGGACTTAAATCTCATATATATGTACTTTAAAAATTTTTAGTTATATGACATTGTGAGGAGGCCATGGACTAAAAACTCCTGAGCTGCATTTTATTAGACATGGAATCCTTTAGATTTGTCACAAATTTATATGTGCAGATTTAAAATTTATACCTGGGGACTTTAATGTCACACAACTCATGGTCAGATGTCATTGAACGTGTAATTGTTTCTACATTTCACATTGTACTGTACTTTGAGATTGTGCTATAAATCTTTTGTGACTATGAGTTATTTTGGTATGTTGCTTACATTGATTTATGTTAGTTCATGTTACTTTAATTTGAATCCACTATTTCCAAAGCAGCCAGTTAATGCAGCAAGTATTTAGACTTTACTATTTACTAATAAGTTTTATATGCAATTCTGGAAGCTTTGTAGAAACTACTTTATAGAAAAGTTCCGTATTTTTCCTTCATTGAGATATTTATATTTTATAATAATGATATATCAATTTGTGATCATGTGATATAATATAAAAATAATGTGATACTTTATGCATGCGAAATTATTTTAATTCTATTAAAAATTTCTAGTTTATAGTTACTATATATGTCATTTATAAGAATTAAAATGCAGAAAAATACATTTAGCCTGTTGATTCTAACTTAGACTTTGATTCAGGATCTTGAAGTACTTTGAGACTATTGCCTTAAATGGCAATTATTATATTGTAAACATATAGACATAGTTTTTCTAGTCAAATAATGGCGAGTACTGAATTAGCTCTAATCAATTGTGAGAAGTTGTTCTTGTTTTCTTTTTAAAGGAATTTCCAATCCCTAGGCTAATTTTAGAAATAACCATATAAAGCAAATTATTATAAGTAGTAAATAGTTATTCAGTAAATAACCACAAATCAAATTAATAGACAGCTGTCTTCACTGTGTTTAGGTGAGTTAATTTAAATATAGGTGCTATATTATTTTTTTCTTCAGAAATTATTAATGTTCTATATTCCAATGTTCTTAATTATTTTAGGCTGCAGTTCATGGAGCTCGTTTCAAAGGGCAGGATCTAAAACTGGCATGGAATAAACCAATAACTAATATTTCAGCTGTTGAAACAGAAGAAGTTGAACCTGATGAAGAGGAAGTATGTTTGTTTTTTTCACTTGGTTTTGCCCTTAAATGTTCACATTTTTATATAAACTGTGATTTTATGGCTGTGATTTTTAACATAAAACTTTTATTCCTAAGCCATATTTCAGGCAGGGGATATCAGATAAATGCAGACAACTTTAAATTTTCTGGATTAATGAAATCTGTGGATTGCTAATCCAAAAAGAATATATGCAAATCATACACACACACACACACACACACCCTCAATGGATTGCCCCAAAGAGGTAGGCCGGAGCCGGTGGTCCTGCCTCTGCACCACACAGAGCCGCTGGACCCTGCCTCCACACACACACACACACACACACACTGTTTTCATTTATTCTTAAAAGAATAATTATTTGTTAGATTTTTTATCCAGAGGAAATCTTGTAATATTTCAAGTTTTAAAGTATATATTCTCAATTGCTTTATTAACATTTCAGGTACTTTTTATTTTAATTCATATTGTTTTAGTTCATTAGAATGAATGCCTGGTATATGGTAGATACTGTGATAGGCATAAAAATGAATAAGACACGGTCCCTATCATCAAGGAGCTTATAAACTGGAAAGGGGGGTGGTGCTGACAGACACATAAGAAACAAATTATAATAAAAGGCAGACTGATATGCTGAATAAAGATTTGAACAATATGCTGTTGGAATCCAAAGGAAGGAGTGATTATTTCTGTCCATAAGAATCTTAAAGGAGTTGGTGACCTTGGAACTGAATCCTAAGTGATAATAAAACTTTCCATAAACCAAGAGCTTGGACGGGGAATATAGTTGAGAGGCATATTTGAGCAGAGGGATAATTGTAGAGATTACATTTTTCTTGGGTAACAGCAGTTAGTCTGAGACTTGTGAGCATAAAGACCAGTGAGCCCTTTGAACAACCCCAGACTTAAAAATAAGCAACTCCATTTGTTTAATCATGAAATAAGCTGTAGGAGAGAGTTGAGGAAGTTAAAAAATAAAGATAAGGTAGGGACACTAAACAAACACATGTTTTATCTCTGTTAGCTTATCAGTGTCACTTCATTTTGTTTGAAGAGCATTCAAGGCTGTTAACACATATCCATAGTCAAATGCAAGAATAAATTGTGTGTTTTGAAACTCATATACATGATTTGTCATTTTATATTTTAGATTATACCTTTGTCCTTCCATGAGTTTGAATTGAATGGGGAGAAAAGCAGGAGAGCTCCTGGTATTAGGTATTTTGAAAAGCAGTCTGAGAAGCTTTTATGAAAGGAATGGAGAAAAGAAATGCTATAAAGAAAATGTTTGTTTACGTACAGTAGAAAATCTGGATAGACTTTTATACAACTTATTGGTTGATTTAGTGTCCAGCATTAGGGTAAGTCAGAGAAGACTTACTGATGTTTTCTTTAAAAAAAAAAAAAAGATAATAAACAATGTTTTGTAGGTATAGAGAAGATAGCATTATTTGGTAAAGAGAGGCAGGAGAAACGGCATGTATAAAGGCTTACTTTGATAATTCTTTAGTGCCTGTTTGATGCAAGCAATAGAATAGATACTGTAGAGAAACCATTGAGTCAGTAAAGGTTGCTTTTTATTTCCTGAATGTCCTAGCTATAGCAATACCTTTTGTATTCGACTCTGTTGAGAGAAATCAGTATTTAAAAGTGTCACCTTTTTTCTTTTCTTTTTTTTGGGTAAATTCCTAAATGCATTTTAACCTAAAGTTTCAGGAAGAGTCTATGGTGGATGACTCATTACTTCAAGATGATGATGAAGAAGAAGAGGACAATGAATCTCGTTCTTGGAGAAGATGATTTGACTGATCATTGATCTGCACATGCTAGAACTCTACCTGTGTTTCATTAGTATTATCTAATGTACTTTTACATATTTGTAAAAACAATTTTTGGTAAATGTGATGAAGATGGATTTCACAAATAGAAGAAAAGAAAACTACCTTCTGATCCTGTATTTTGAAAGATTGATGTTTGCATTTTATTTCAGTAAACAATTGCTAAAGACATCACACTAGAAACATGCAATGTTTTTATTACATACTTCTACTGAACAATACAGAATTCTTCGGGTTCTTTGTAATTTAATGAATAGGTCTGAAAACTTATGACCAATACTTGTAATAATTTAGAGAAATTTGTTTTACTCCAAATAAGGAATGAATTTGCATTTAAAATCTTAATGAATGTTTTCAAAAATGAATAGATAACATAGTACTCTAACTAAAGTCTCCAAGTATGTATTCATAATATTACATAGTAGTATGCTTAGGCTTTACTATGTATTAGCCTTTTGTTGGACTTGTGTATGTATTTTACCATATGGGTTTCAATGATAATGGTGTATGACTGCTTTGCATATGACTCTCCTTATGCATTCAGATGTTTAAAATAAAGTGGAATGGTCTTTTAAAAAGAAAAGAAAAGAAAAAAAAAAGCAATGACAAAAAAAACAACACACAACCAAGACGATGTTCTTTGATTTAAAAAAAAAAAAAAAGAAAAAAAGAAAGAAAAAAAAAGTTAAAATAGACCATTCCTGATGGTGATCTACCCTTTCCCCCAATTATCACAAAAGGAGCTATAATCACTAACTTATTCTTAGTAATAATGGTTACTGATACCTTTATAATAATGTACAATCCAATGTTTAAAATTTATACCACTTTAGTTTGGTTTGATCCTAAAAAAAAAAAAAAAGAAAAAAAGAAAGAAAAAAAAAGTTAAAATAGACCATTCCTGATGGTGATCTACCCTTTCCCCCAATTATCACAAAAGGAGCTATAATCACTAACTTATTCTTAGTAATAATGGTTACTGATACCTTTATAATAATGTACAATCCAATGTTTAAAATTTATACCACTTTAGTTTGGTTTGATCCTATAAATTTTCAACAGATGTCTTAAAATTTAAAAGCAGGCTGATTAGTTTGGAGCCAGACTTCAAGTAGAGCTAACATTTGGTGAATAAGAAAACCATCACATTACATTTTGGATGTATGAAAGAAAACTTGACCATTTGAAGATGTATGAATAAAGAAATGTACTATAGATACTACTTTAGGAAAACAGTTTGGTAAGTGTTTCAGTCTGATATTTTAAGTGTGCGTTTCCTATATTTGTATAAAAATACTTGACATTTACAACATTGTGATTTTTAAGTGGATTTCTCTGGCAAGTGAACGTGATCACTTAAAGTTGTTACAGGATATAAATGCATTCTTTGTAGAATGAAGGGGTGGGAGGATACATATTTATATTTTTAAATTCATCATTTTGTTTACAAGTATTTCTGCCCCTCCTGAGATTATAGTGATTATATTAAAAGTCACATCAAAAACATAACTTTCTTTCCATACTGTGGTCCTCACAATCACAAACTGTAATTCCACCACCCACACTCTTCTACCAGTGGAGTGACTAGTGGATTTTTTCCACACGTAGGGTTAAAGTTATATAATGTTCTTGATGGTAATACTGTTTCATAGGAATGTTTTGACTTGCAATTAGTGCATATGTTTATATTTAAAATTTCAAAGTCAGATTTCTTTTGTCCAAATAGTGACTTTACTCAAAAACTCCTTCACTATCCTTAGATCTAAGATAGATTTTTGAGTAGTCTCTTCTATGTTGACTATATACTATTCTGATTTGTTAGGTAAGTTTGTTTTCTTTTCTTTTTAGTAGTCGTGAAAGGTGCCAAATTGGCAGAGGCTCACGTTTCTTCTTTTTACACCAAACAGGTATTATAAAGAAAAAAAAATATTTCAAAGGCCAGTTAAATCTCCATGCTGATTTTTGGCTTTATAATTTGATTAGTAAATTTTAGCCTGATATTTTTTAAATTACTGTAAAATCCCTTATTATGTAACTGAAATTACCTATTATTTAAATTCACAAATAGGTAATTACTCTTCCTAGTTTTACATTCTCTAGTAACCTAAAATTAAAATGTTTTAAGCCATTTTGCTGTGAATGAATCAGAAGACAAGTATTTATCAGTTTGGTCCAGAAGTATGGGGATTAAATATTAGCAACATTCATTAGATTCACAATTATATTTTTAGCAATGATTTTAATTGTAAATATTACTTAGATTTTCATTGCTATTGAGTTTTTAAAATTAATATGTCTATAAGTTCTAGTAGTCTACATGTACTTTCATCTATTCTCATTCAAAACTTAAGCTATCCCTTTAAATCAGCTGTTAAATTTCCATTTTACAGATAAGGAAATTTGGGATAATAGAGATGGAATGACTTGTCCAAACACTGCTAGTCATGGAAAGGCTAGAATTGAATGCACTCATTCTGATTTCAGTGCCAGCTATAGTTTTTTAAAAACTATATTGCTACCTCCTTTCTAATTGATTGAGCATGAAATTGTGTGCAATAAATGTGTAGTTCTTGCACAATATTAGTGGACTTCTTGGTCATTAGCCAGTTCATAACTTTACTCTCCCTTTTAATACAGCGCTTTGTTCATATCTCTGTTACAAGTACTTATATTGCAATATAATTTATCTGGTTTATATGTCTGTCTTCCCCATTAGATTACAAGCTCCTCTAGGAAGGGGACCATGTCTTATTCATCTTTTTATCTCTAGTAATTATCACAAAGCCTGGCTCATAGTGGGCACTAAGATGTTTGTTGGATGAATTAATGAATGAATGCACATTTGAATCTCCAATAATGGAGTGACAATTACCTCCCTTGTCAATTCTTATCAATTTTTCAAAAATATCTCCTGAAGCTCTTCTCAGTCATTGGGACTAACCGTTTTGCTAAAAAATTGCTACAGTTAGGTATTGCACCACTGGGGTTACAAATGCTGATGGAGGAATACACAGGTAGTCTGGAATTTCCATAAACTAAGCCATTAATATTTTTAGAGAGTTAAATGTTGTAGTCAGTTTCAGAAGTAAAATGGCCTTTTGGTTTCTATTAGTATGTAAGAATAGAAATGGCAAGGGTCACTAATCTAGTCCATCCCACTGTTTTTTATATCTAGTCCATTCCCTAGTTTAGAGTACTGGAAAAGGGTTAAGAGATTTAGCTTTTGGTCCCAGCTCTATAACTCACTCTGTGGCCTTAGATAAGTCTCTTAACTTATCCAGGGCAGTTTCCTTGTCTGTAAAATGAAAGTGGTTGGACTAGATGATCTCTAAGTTTCCTTTCACATTTATAGCTTCCCTGGTGTATATTAGCGTTTAATCTAAAACAATTTAATATATCTATACCAATTCTACATACTTGTTGCTACTGTTTCTGTCTTATCAATTGAAACAATTTCAATTTGGTTATGATAATTCATATTATGTGTCTTAGTACAGTTTTATATATAGTATTCTCAAATGCTTGCCTTTGCTGGCACAAATTTCATTTAGCCTATGAAGTATGGATTAACTTCTGTATTCACTAGCACTTTTCCTTTCTGCTTATAACTCTTCCATTCACTTCTGAATTCAAAGTTTAAAACTCTTTCCTATTATAATATGCTACCTAAAACTTGAAACACATTTTTAAATACAGTTCTCTTATTAAGTATAGATCTGGGCTGAATTGGGAGTGAAAAAAGGATTGAGAATAATGTAGTTAACTACTGCTTACAGGAAAAAAATTAAGGAAAATTATGTATTATTGGATAAAAGATTGATTAGGATTACTTCAAGGGATGGTTGAATTGTCATTTTACATATTCAGTATTTTATGTCTCAACCTAAGCAGTGTTGTTTTAAATGTTATTGGATAATTGTAACATTTTAAAATTTAATTTTAGTATTTAACCAATGCCCAAGCATTTATTGAAATCATGTTGTAGGAATGGGAGAGTATTGCATAGTGCTTGTTTTATTGCAATATGATCAAATGTATCAATTAGTAGTTTACTATGAAGACAAGATTTCACTGTGTTAGCTGATTATCTGTAGAAAGAATGGCTGAGTTTAATTGAAGGAAATTTCCTGTTACTAGAACTGTTTTATGAAGAGTGTATTTCCAATCTTAATTGGAACACTAACCATTGACTCTAAAGGTTATATAGAAAGGAAGCAAACAGTTGCTTGTTTGGTTATGTTAAAATATCAATGGTTATCTTACAGTATTATCAAACTTTATCATCTATATTTTCATTTTCCCCTTACCTACAATGTGAACTAATTATAGAAAATTATTTTTACTTCTTCTAGAATTTATATAAAAATTTAAGCTTTTTTTTTTTTTTTAAATCCCTTACAAAAATATTTTAGCCTTTTAAAACAAAAAATATCCTGCATGAAATTCTGGGTAATTAAGTAATTTCACTTTTTGGTCTTTCAGGGTTTTTCTTACTCTTCTAAAACCCTGTAAATTAAAAGTGGAAATTTAACCTAGTATTAAATCATGAGTGTATAACATTTGTCAGGCAGAAAGAAAAATGTCCTTTTCCCAGACTCAGGAACTACCTTGTTCTTGTTAACTTCTTGAACTGGCTAGTTGCTCTAAGGTATGTACGCAGGCTTTTAGAGAAGAGTAGTTTTCTCTCTCTCTCTGATTATTATATACCTGTCAGATGACAGCAGATAATTTCCAAAATAGCTACCTAAAAGTTCTCAAACAAATTTTGGTGAACATGACCGCCATCTCAGTAATTTCTAATGAAAACATTGTTTAGTTGAAAAATGTCTAATTTGGTAAATAATTTTCTTTCAGTTTATACGTATTATGTTATTCATTACTTAGTGTAATTGAAAGCATTTTTTACTTTACTTTTCTGGAATCAGTTTATTATAGTTGTTCCTATCCCTGTTTCCTTGTTACTTCATTTCATCTACCTACTCATCTCCCCATCATACAAATTAGCCTTCTTGTGTATACCAAGCACTGCCTCATTTTGATGTGTTCCTTTTATTTATTTTTGTTAATCATTGTGCTTAGTATAGAATTTTATGTCATATAGTGTGACTAAAGAATTTTATGATTATCTTGTGGAGTTTAAGGTAATTAATTAGATGTACCCTGCAACTACTTTGAAATTTTGGGGAAACTTAAGATAATTGTTTTTGCTTTCATTTTTATATGTAATACCTTGGAATTTGCTCATGATTTTTTCAAATTACTTTGCCTACCGATACCTCTATAAAATTTGCTATCTGGTCAGTTACTACATTTCCTATCCATAATTTTTAGATGATAGACGTGTTGTAGAGCTGTGATCTTTGCAACTTAATGTTTTAAGGAAGCATAATGCACCTCAGAGGTTTCATTAAAAAATCAAGCTGATTTTTAAAATAGATCTGTGTACAACTTTGATTTTGATCCTTTCTCAAGTAGATCTTTTTTTAAGTTTAGAAAAATTGGAGATCAATTTATGGTGTGATTCAATGTTTAGATTCATTTATGATTTTCAGAGTTTTTTTTAATAGTCTTCTCTTTTTCCAGCAGAGAGAGATCATCATTGCCTGAATTTAGCTTTGTGACTACAACAGCAAGATCTGTTCCTGTCTGGAGACGACTGTTATAATATCTCTATTATTTTATGTTTGCCTTTTATCAATTTGAATAGATGTTTACATGTACTATAATTAGCATTTTATCTTTACAGTTCTCTAATGGTACATTTGAGTCCAGAAGTATATCTGAGTGTGTGCTTTGTCTGACCTTATTCTTAAATGTTTTCTCCCCTTTTCTTGCTTTTTTTTTTTTTTTTTTTTTTTTTACGCCATAAGAAGACAAAAGACCTCTTGGTTTCCTAGTATGGCATAAGTTCAGTCTCAGTCATCTTCAGAATTGTGTCTAGGAAATCTATAAAGCCATGATGCTGTGTTAATTAACACGAACAATTTAGAATGAAGAAAATGATTGAAAATTTAAGCATGGGTATACTTTTAAATTTTCTGGGTTTTAAAAGGTTATATTTCTGGGGTTAGAATAGTCAGTTAAATATTTTGGACAGATGGTAAAATACTTTTTTTTACACACACTTGCCTATTTTTTCTAAATATATTTACTCAAGTTGTTCCCAAGACCACTTATCTGAATAATTTTAAAGTCCTTAGCTCTTTAAAACCAACAAGGAGACTATTTTTCTTTCTTTTCAAGTATTGCAGGATGATGACCTGTGGAGTATAAATATTGAAAAATATCTATTAAATGTCTAGTTTACAAGTTTTTCCATATTTTCCTCACAGTCAAGACATCAAAGACAATCTTGAAAGCAAGGGGAAAGAATATTGTGTGTCTTACATTGTTAAAGACACTATAATTTTCCTATTTTAAAAGGCATATGCCCATATTATTAGTAAGCAATTATTAATATTACTACTAGTGTTAATAATATGGCATAGAATTATTTATAGAACATGATTTAATTTAACCCAGGTATTTACCAAAAACACTCCTTTTATAATGGGTGCCATTAAAAAAGTTTTCAAAATCAGTTTTTGAATATTTCTTCAAATTCTCATGAGACATTTGAGAAAGAAGTTATTCTTGGTACAAACTCTTTATTAGGAAAGTCCAAATTACACTTGATTCTGTTCACCCTTGTCCATGCTATATTTTCACTTTTCTTTGCGTGCAAAGTTGACTATTCTGTAAACACTTTATTGAGTGTGCATTGCCTCTGTCTTCATGAAAAATAAAAAGAATGAACACATTTATCATAATGTAAATGATCTATTTTGATCCACATTAGTTGGAGACAGCATGATTAATATGAGGCTTGGTTTGAAGGAAAAGTACAGACTTTGGAAGGTATTCAAACATAATTATGACCTACTAGTATACAAGGCCTTTTTAAAATTAAACTTTAGTTTTAATTTGCAAACTATCATATAGCGAGTTTGTAAATATTTTTTCAGATTAATTCAGTATTTTTTCAAGGAAAGATGCTTTGCCCATCTAATAGTGGTTTCCGTGCTAGGTTAGAAACCTAAAGAACGTTTTCTGAGACCATATTTGCTGTTAACAGTTCTAGTTGGTTAATGGATGTGGACCACATACTACTGCCCTCAACTTTATTTTGTCATCTTCCTGTTTTTCCCTTGCCTTAAAAACAAAATAAAGCAAAACAAAATGAACTACCATTTGAATCAGAGTCAAGGTGATTTGATTCTCATTAAGATCATTGCGCTTTTTGGAAATTGCTTTGAGATCCAGTAGATGAGTTAAGTAGTTAAATTCCCATATGTTGATTAATTAAAGAAGGATTTTTATTTCATTTTCCTGAATAAGATTCTCATGAAGCTATGTGTAGATAACTGTACAGAATCACTTGTGTAATTGAATGATGCAGTTTACCGCTGCATGATTGCATTATGGAAACCTTTTATATATCTATATTTTTAATATACTTGGATTTTACACTATTAGCTGTTCTAGTCAAGCTATATTTGTTTTTTAAAAGAGTTTATAAATATTGATCTCAAAATACAAATTGATTGAATATTTTGGTCTTGTTTACAAGATAAATAAGTGATGCAGCCCCAAAGTGTCTTAGGAAAAAGTCATTGGTGCTATAAAACCTTTCAATATCATTTTTGAATCTGTTGTTTGGACTGCTAGGCTTTCATCTATGATTGCTTTTGACTTATTTTCTTCTAACAGCATAAGTAGAAAAGTGGTCTGTGGTGAGTAAAGAGCCCAGTCCATTAGAAAATACCCCATAATTTAAAGATAAGCAGAATGACGTACTTATTTTTGCCCAGCTTCCCCAAAAGAAATTGCTTCTTCAGCTTATCATTGGCTCTTTCGATGGGAGGAACTGCGTTAACCTGGCTAGAATTAAAAAATGAAACATTCAGCATGGCTCAGTTTTCCTATATTTCAAATAGAAAACTTTTCTAGTCTGAAAATATGGTGTAATCCTGCTCTGCTTTAAATTCCCATTTGTCTTTTACTCAACAGGAGGCAGGGTAATTCTTAAATATTTATAGAACATTTGATGAGTTGGAAAGAGATGTATTATTTACATTGTACAAGTTTTGTGTTAATGCGTAGATTGTTTTCTCCATCTACAAAACTTTATTCCAGCACCTTAGTGAATGTTCTTAAGATACAATTTTTTAAGTATCAGCAAAGCATTCGTAGGTGTTTATTTTTTATTCTTAGAATCCTGAACCTGTTCTGGGTGTGATAGAACATGTCTGGCACAAGATTTCCTTTAATAAGTGGTTTAATTTAACTCAACTTCTGTGGATTGTTGAACTTAAAACACCAAAGGAATCTTTTCTTGTCTGGAGACTGGATTGTTCCAGTTTTTAATACCTGTGCCCATGAGTATCCATTTCATGAATGCGTGTTGGCATGGGGAAAAATTCCCTGCTCTTTGAGTGGAGCGAAAGAAATTGGTTAAGCTGTAGCAGCTTTTTTTTAATTTAAGTATGAAAACTTGAACTTGAAAAAAGTAAAACTTGAACTAGAAAACTCTTGTATGCTTAGAATGTTTATAGTATTACATGTTTATGTGGGGTTGTCAAACATTTTTATTTATAGTTGAATTATGTTTTGTTAAATATCCATAATGTTTATTATTTTTATATTTTGAAAAAAAATTTAAATAAAATAGTCTTACTTAAAAGCAGTTGTTAACTTTTTAAAATTGTCCTTCATGTTGCATCAATAGAAAGAAAAATGTGCAGCCCTCAGGCATTGCACAATTGAGAATTCTGGAAATGTTTAAATAAAGAAATGGCTTCACATTGCCTCTTTCCCTCTTTGCCCTCCATTCTCACTTTAAATTGTTCTAAGTCACCTTTGGTACCAATCTGTTTTTTGGCCTAATGGCTTTTTATTCTCATACATATACAAATCTTATATACTCTTATTCTCCCTAATTCCTGCCTCTACTGCCAGAAATTAGCTCTTTATTCCATTTGGGGACCAAAATAAGCATGAAAATATGTCAAAGAAGGACTGCCATAGATTCTAAAGTGGAATTTGATGTAA